CCTGCTGAACCATGTGAGAGCTGTGTTTAGGTACGGGCCAGGTGTGGAAGGGCTGTAACACTCAACAGTAAGAATCGGAAAGGGTATGGGCCAATTGGGCAAAACACTGTTCCTGCTAAGACAAGAAGTACACAAAGCCAACCTGGGCCCGGGACCCTCCAGTATGTGCAAGATGTGCCACTAGGAGGAGACCAGATAAAGGAGCTTAGCGAACTCCTTTCTAAGGTTGCAGTCCCTGCAGGTAAGCACTAGAACCAAGGCAAGGAGTAGCCCAGACCAGATCAGGTTAAGTACCAGCCAGCATACATGTGGGTCAGGTCAGGGGGTGGGCCAGGCCAGTTCATAACATCCACTGGCAGATCGAGAATCAGGATGGCATGCAGGAGGGGCCAAACAGGGACACATCACCAGCCATTTCACACTGCAGCCGGGACTGAGGGCTGACTGGGAAAGGCTAGGCTGCAGCACCAACCAGCACAAGCTAGAACTGGGGTCAGGTTGGATTGAACTAGACTGAAGCACCACTGGAGCTTGCACCAAGGCAAGATGAGCCAAGTCAGTCTGGGGGTGTTGGATGCCAGGTCCATGAGCCCAGGGACAGGGGTCCAGCAGAGCCCAAGTCCTTGGGCTCACCTGCACGGTGGATGCTGGATCCATGTGCCCCAGTGGTAGGAGGCTTGAGGGGGCCTAGGTCTCCTGGTCCAGGTCACTGAGCCCGCCTATGTGGAGGGGGCCAGATCCATGAGCCCCAGGGGTGGGGGATCCGCAGGTCCTGGATTGCATTTCCCCAGAAATGGGAAAGAAATAGAAAGCCAGGAAACAATCATCACAACCACTTCTCCCTAGCCCTAGACCCTTCCTATTCTGATTGACTATGTAAACATCACTGAAAAAAAAAGTAAAACAAAAGCAAACAAACAAAGAAACAACAAGTTAACCTAAAATAAACAACAATGAGACCACCAGGTCAATGTTTAATAAATTCAAAATATTTGCCCAGAGGCAGGCAACAATAAAGGCTGCCCACATCCTGTATTGGAGCACGTGGGGTTGAGTGCCAGTTCCACTCCCAATTCCAGCCTCCTGCTAAAGCAGATCCTGGGAAGCAGCAGGTGACGGCTTCAATAGTTGGGTCCCCACACCCGTATGGGAGACCTGGGCCAATCCTGGCCGTCGGCTTTGGATTGGCCCAGCCCCACAGGCATTTCAGGAGTGAACTAGCAGGAAGTACTTCTTTCTGTTCTTCAAACACAATGAATAAATACATATGTTTTTTAGCTGCCAATTGCCTTCTCCTGATGATTTCCAATTAAAACAAGAAATCCTCAAGGACCTTTTGCCTGCACTGTTCCGGATGCCTCCACTCTTACTCAATCCTTACTTAGAACAATCTCCTGGAATAGTTAACACTATTCCCTTTTGTTGGTTTGTTTCTATGTTTTTACAAAAACAAGGTTCAGAGAGGCTAAGAGACTTACACATCACAGAGCAGGCCAAAAGCACAGGCTCAACTCAAGCAGTTTTCCCTAATCTCAGGGGCTTTGTTCTTTTTATAAAAAGTTGGTTTTACTACAAGGAATACATGCAAACGGTAGAGAGAAATGGCTTCAAATTATAACAGCTCAATAAAACAGAGAAGTTAGGGGGAAAAATCCAGTATGGACAATGGTACTACGTTGAGAAGCCATTTCTAGAATTATTGTGTAGGATCTTTCCCCTCACAAACACACACAAAAATGTCAATACAAACACCTATCTTTAAACAACGATGTGTCACACAACGTATTCTGCCTTCAGAATCTGTCCAGCTTACTGGCTGAGGTGCCTACACCTCACACTGGACTATCTGTGTTTGACTCGCAGCTCCAAATCCGGAGTTCCAGGTTCCTGTCAGTGCAGACCCTGGTCCAGCAGTGATGGCTCAGGAGACTGAGTCCTTGCCATCTACATAGGAGACCTGGACTGCGTCCTGGCTGCTGGCTTTGGCCTTGGCCGCTGTGGAAACTTGGGGAACCAGAAGATGATTACATTCTCTGTCTCTCTGCTTCCCAAATCAATGTAAAAGAATGCCAAAAGTTTTAATTAAGAAGCAGAACACTATACTAGCAACTCACAATCGGGCCAGGCGCCAGCGAGCCCAGGTCCCCTCCTCGGAAGGCTCATCAGCCTCCTAGCTGAGGAAGCATCCTCCTGCTGGCACAGGTAGGACAGAACATGCAGCCAGGCCTGCAGAGAGCACCAGGTAACAGCATGACGGCCATTCCCTCAGGAACTCCCTCGGATGTCACCCTTCTCCTTCCCCTTGCTAATCTCATGAAAACTGAGGCGTTCCCAAGGTCACCCAGCCAGGAGAGAACAACAATCACGGGTTGAACTACACACACTGCCTGTAAACACTGATCCTTCTTTTAAGATTTTATTATATATATTCAAGTTGGTAAGGCAAAGTTACATAGAGAGGAGACAGAGAATTTTTCCACGCACTGATTCACTTCCCAAATGGACTACAAAAGCCAGGGCTGCACCAAGCTGACGCCAGTGCCCAGCACACCATGAGTAGCAGGGGCCCAAGCACTAGGGCCATTCTCCAATACTTTCCCAAGCGCATTAGCAGGGAGCTTGACTGGAAGTGGAGCAAATTGGGACTTGAACCAGTGCCCATCTGGGATGCCAACATCACAGACAGAGGTTCAAACTACAACACAATGCCAGTCCCTGAGTTCTAAGGCCTTTTTTTTTTTTAAAGATTTATTTCATTTTTATTTGAAAGGCAGGGTTACAAAGAGAAGGAGAGAGACAGAGATCTGCAGCCCTCTGCTTCACTCCCCAAATAGCCACAATGGCCAGATCTGAGATGATCCAAAACCAGAAGCCAGGAGCCTACCTGAGGCAAGTTCCTAAGGCAAGATCCTAAGAATTCAAGCCATCCTCCACCACTTTCCCAGACCATCAGCAGAGAGCTAGATTGGAAGTGGAGCTACTGGGACAGGACCAGGTGTCCACACAGGATGTCAGCACTGAAGGCAGAATCTTAGCCTACTATGCCACAACAAGGGCCCCCATGAACTCTAATTCTTAATCACCAGATTATATTACACAAAATGCTTTCTAATGTGTATTCCTATAATTATTTGTAAGATAAAAACATTTTTCCTATCTTAGCTATTCCCTCAGTCGATAGAAACTTTTGCTTATCTTTCTGGGTTTGTTTTTGGATTTTTCAGTCTTTTCAAGAAGCTGTCATTTCCTACACTGATGACAGTCTGTTAGAGTCATTGTTGCTGATGTGTCTCAATAACACAGGTGCTACCTGCTGTAAGAAAAAAAAGAGCATTTGAAGAAACAAATGCAAAATGAAAAACTGTTCTTAAAGAACAACCAACCTTAGATATTCATAATAGAGAAGAAACAAATTCTAGTATCACGGAAAATAAGTCTAAGATTTCACAGCATGTTATTTTAAATCCCATTTAAATGGGAAGATGCATGCCAATAATTCAAGTTAGTCACACGAATCATTTGGAAGTGAATTCCTGACTTGTGTGGTTAAAGGAACGTCACAGGGGCTGGTGTGCTGGCGCAGCAGGCTAAACCGAGGCCTGGGAATGCCAACATCCCATTTCAGAGCACTGGTTTGAGTCCTGGCTGCTCTGCTTCTCTCCCAGCTCTTTATGAATGTGCTTTGGCCCAAGTGCTGGGTCCGAGGCCAGGATGGAGTTCTTGGCTCCCGGCTTCAGCCCGGTCCAGATCTAGCTGTTACGGTCTGCTGCAGAGTAAGTTGGCTGATGGGAGATCTCTTTTTCTCTCTAGAGCTCCACCACACCCCTTTACTCTGCTTTTTAAATAAGTAAATAGATAATAAATTTTTGATTTATTTTTTTTTTTACTGGAAAGGCAGATCCACAGAGAAAGAGAAACAGAGAGAAAGATCTTTCATCACTGATACACTCTGCAAATGACAACAATTGGAACTGAGCTAATCCAAAGCCAGAAGCTTCTTCAGGGTCTCCCATGTGGGTACAGGGTCCTAAGGCTTTGAGCTGTCCTCTACTGCCTTCCCAGATCATCAACATGGAGCTGGATGGGAAGTGGAGCAGACAGAACTCGAACCCATGCCCATATGAGATCCCTGCGCTTGCAAGATGAGGATTTAGACAACTGAGCCATTGTCCTGGGCTCAAAAACATTTTTGTTAAAGGAACTCAACAGAACATCTATCAAAAAGCAGAAACGCTTCCCAATGGGGCCACACTTTGAGAGCTTTTTGACTATATACATCAATACCTTTGACAAACATGAGATTTGTGACACCCATTGTGGCCACTGCCCACAGAGCTGTGTGATGGGTGCAGGCCCTTGCCCTTCTCAGACAGCTCAGCTCATCACTGCTTCCTTCGCGGGATTGTTTCAGGTGTTCCCTGAAAGTAGAATAACAGTGACATCTAATGGTCACAGGACATGTCACACAGCAATTCTTCCAAACAGAGCCAATGCAGGATCCAGGCTAGAGGGTTCCATCAGGTCATTTTCCCCCTGCATAAAGGCCTCTGGTTTAAATTCCCTGCCACTGTCGGCCCTGAGTGACTCAGATGAGCATCAGGACCCACACTGCATATCCTACAAACAACGCCCCATTTCATCATCCATGTGGGTTCTACTGTGCCCATTTCTCACAACCCATCAGCCTAAGTGACCCTGGCAAGATAAAGCAAATGTGGTGCAATGACCTGTCAATCACTGAAAATGAGCCTCTGCACAATTCTGAAAGAACTTTCTGGAAAGAATGATTTGCATCCTGCCTGTGTGGAGAATAGACTTCCACTCTTCTGGGTCGAGTGATCCATCCTAACACACACTCCCACCTTCAACCTCCTCTGAATGTGATGGGACAGGGTTAAGAGCACCATCATGGGGCATATGTGCAACTATCGCCTGCCAGGCCATGAGGCACAGGCTGGCAAGATGAGGAGTCCCTCCTGTAGCCCAGGCCTCTGGCTCACCAATGCCGGCTGCTTTCAGAGTGCTTGCTTCTTCCAGCAGGAGTCTGTCATCATCTTCCAGGCTCACCACAAGGTCGTTCGTCTAAAAAAGAAAGATCATCAGCCGTCTAAATGGTATTTATATTGGTTTTTACTCAAGAATACATCTAAAAGATCATGGGCGAATGGAACGAAGGGGCTGACATCCGTACAGGTGCCAGTCCATGTCCTTCCTGGCTGTTCAACTTCTGATCCAGCTCTCTGCTTATAGCCTGGGAAAGTAGCTGAGGATGGCCCAGGTGCTTGTGCCCTGCACCCATGTGGGAGACCCAAAAGGGGCTCTAGGCTACTAGCTTTGAACCAGCTCAGCTCTGGCTGTTGCAGCCATTTGGGGAATGAGCCAGTGGATGGAAGACCTTCCCTGTCTCTCCATCTCTCTCCGTAAAAGTCTGCCTTTCAAATAAAAATAACTAAATCTTAAACAAAATATGGAATGAAAAGTAAACCATGGGACAAAAGATTTCCCTTTTTCAAAGATTTATTTATTTCTATTGGAAAGTCAGATTTACAGAGAGAAGGACAGACAGAGAAAAGACCTTCTGTCCATTGGGTCACTCCCCAAGTGGCCACAACAGCCAGAAGTGCCAATCCAAAGACACGAGCCAGGAGCTTCTTTCAGGTCTTCCATTTGGGTGCAGGGTCCCAAAGCCTTGGACTGTCCTCTACTGCTTTCCCAGGCCACAAGCAGGGAGCTGGATGGGAAGTGGAGAAGCCAAGGCACGAAATGGTATCCATATTGGACCCCAGAGCATGCAAGGTGAGGACTTTAGCCACTAGGCTACTGTGCTGGCATCAGGACAAAAGGTTTTCAAAACTCATGTGCTGTGTTCTCATAATATGCATTCCCTATGTGTGCATTTCCCAATTTTCTGCCACTAAAATAATAACTTAAATTCATTTTTTTCTGTGAATGTATGAAAGCGTCCTCACAATTGGCAGCACTTTCCAAAGAGATAGAGCTGCTACTTGGAGTCACAGTAATAAACTAGGGCACATTCTACTCTCCCTGAGGAGCCACCCCACACAGCACACACCTACTGAGTGCACATCCGGGGAGACCCTGGAAGGGCGGGGTTACACAGTGGGCTTCTACAGTTAGACATGGGTTCGAATGCAGAAGATCACCTCTTTCAAACTCACTTTTCCTCATTTCAGGACAGGAGTGATGAGGACGACATAGGAGGAGGTGTATGTGAATCCCTGTTCTCCCATCCCCTCAACATGGTCCCACAGAAGGCTCTCACAGTGTTAGGGATCACTGAGCTGCCCCCCTCACAACAACACAGAAGGAATCAGAAAGGTTGAAGTCCCGGCCCAGGATCCATGGCCACTACTCAGCCAGTGGAACCCGGGGTCATGTTCTTGCCCTCTGAATATTAGAGACAAGAACAATATCCATGTTCTCTAACAGCCGTCCCCAAGCCTTAGGTCCCAGGTCATGCAACCTGTGCTGTCTCTCTGTGTGACTGGGTGTAGGGGTGGATAAGTTGCCTTCCCAGTGATATTCATGAGTACAGTTAAAACAGCCTAAGGGCGGGAGAACATTTGGAGTTGCTTGCTGTCCTGGAATAGCTCACAGAGGTGACCACTAGCTGGGCATGTGGTACCACCTGTCAACCAGAAGGCAGCTGTTTAGCAATGTGTTCTATTTTTAGCATGTGGCTCAGACAGGCAACAGAGAGGCCAGCTAGCCGCCAAGTTCTGGAAGACAGGGCCCATGGGATGCAGTCACCAGGGAATAGGTAGATCTGCGCTCCATGGAATTCAGATGATCAAAAGAAAAACTTCAGGAAAAGCACCATAAACCATAACACCCAGCTCTCTGAACACGCAGGAGAGGGCGCTAGGCAAGCTCGGGAAACCTCTTTGAAGCTGCGTCTACAAGGGGATTTCACAAAACCCTTCAAAAAAATCCTTCAATCCTTTTTTCACTGAAATACACCTAATCTTAGTGCCACTATCCGTGAACATGGCTAGATGAGGGAAAACCAATTCCTGTGCATCCTCCGGCAGAGGCCTCTGCATGTGTCACACTGGCAGGAATGTGACTGTAAAACAATTTTCACACATACAGCAGCACATTCTATGCCATGTGCTAAAGTCTTATTAGTTTTTCTGTCATAATAAATACACCTAAAAATCACTGTTGGAAAGAGCTGCCCCATCATTCATCAGGGCTACGGCATTTTTCATCTTGAGGATACACACACACACACACACACAGTCCTTTCTATGAACATACAGCTTGTTTCCAGAAAGGGTGCTGCACTCACCATGTGGCACATGTGTAAGCTGCAGCCCCAGACTGACTTCTGCAAGGAAAGCTGCTGGGTCAGGAATGACACGTGACCTATCATTTTGACCGATGTTGCCAGGTTACTCTCCAAGATGGCAGCACCAATCCACTCTATGCTACCAGTTGGCAGAGTGTCTGTTTTCATGACCTTTGCCAGCACAGCCAGCTGGCCAATCCCTTGCTCTCAGCCAGACTGACAGATGCAGGTGTTAATTAGCAGGTACTTTCTTAGGAGTGAGACTGAATAGAGTTGCAGGATAATGCATCTATTAGAGTTAAAGAATATCTTTACATACTAAGGGAATTAAGCCTTTTCTGTAAGTCAGAGAAATATCTCTTTGATGCTCAGGCTCCCTAGCCTTCAGGGAGATACATCTAGTTCCAGTGAGACTGGCTCACATTCAGAACTCTAGAAACAACAGCTGCTGGTGTGGACATGGGGAGAAAGCTACTGTCCTTCACTGCTAGTGGGAGTGTAGGCTAGTACAACCACTGTGGAAATCAGTATGGAGAGTGCTTGGAGAACTGAAAATTGACCTGCCATATGACCCAGCTATCCTGCTCCTAGAAATATATCCAAAAGAAACGAAAACTGTAAATGAGAAAGAAATCTGTAATCCTATATGTACAGCAGTACAATCTACAATAGCAATCACATGCAAACAACCCAGATGCCTGTCAAAAGAGGAGGGGTTAAAGAAACTGTGGTACATCTACTCCATGGAACACTACTCAGTCATTAAAAAGAATGCAATTATACCATTTGCAACCAAATGGTCCCAACCAGAGACCATTATGCTCAGTGAAATAAGTCAATACCAGAAGGACAAATACCATATGTCCTCTCTGATATAAGGCAACTTTCATGCAAATTATGAGATCAATAACCCTTTAACACTGTTTTTGCTGCAACCCAAGGGTTTTGTTATTGTTTTTATTTTCATTTCTTCTAAGTAGTTTTTTTTTCTCAATTTATTAAGTTCTTCACTGACTCACAGATCACACAGCAGCAACATTTTCTCCAAGAAGTTTTTGTGATTTCTTTTCATTTCTTCATCGACACATTGGTTATTCAGTAGCATGTTACTTAACTCCATGGTGCTGTTAATTTTTTGTTTTAACTTTATTCCTGTTGTTGAGTTTGTTTCATGACTTCTCATTTAAGGGAATGCACAGTAACTGTGTAATAGATACTGTCAAATCCAGATGTGAAAATACAATTCAGTGTGCATCTCTACTTTCAAATCAAAGATGGACTCCCAATGAAACTGTTGGATATAGCTTGACAATAGGATGCTGGACTGTGTGGCATTTTCTGTATCAGCAATGTCAGAACACACTTAAATAACTGACTGATGGACTTACGACTACTTATGAAAGACTATACTATTGTAACAATATGGGGAAAATCAGTCAGGTAAAGGAAATTGGGGCAGTGGATAGGGGAAATAGAAATAGAAAAAAATAACAAAAAGAGAGAATTATCTCTTTTCATCTGTTCCTTGATTTTTCTTATATTACTTTTCTTTTCTTTTTCCTTTAAATCGATGGTGTTAAGTAAATTTCTGTTAATTTATTAAGCAAAATGCATCCATCTTTGGGAGTTTCTGTTTTCTTTCCTTTTTAAGGATTTACTCATTTTTATTTGAAAGGCAGATTTACGGCGAGAAGGACAGGCAAAGAGAGATCTTCCATCCACTGGTTCACTCCTCAAATGGCTGCAATGGCTGCAATGGCCAGAACTCAGCCAATTAGAACCCAGGAGCCAGAAGCTCTTCTGGGCCTCCCTGTAGGTGCAGGGTCCAAGGACCTGAGCCATCCTCTGTTGTCCTCCCAGGCCACTGGCAGAAAGCTGGATTGGAAGTGGGGCAGCCACAGCTGGAACTGATGCCCACATGAGATGCCAGAGGCTGAGGATTATCCTGCTGAGCCATCACACCAGCCACAGTCACTCATCTTCTAATCATGCTTAGAAAGATGTTCTCTATTCTGAACTATTCTGGAATTTTGTGTTTTCTTCAAATTTTTAAGTGAATTTTCCTTTTAAGTTGTTGCAGAAGAATTTCACACCTAGAAGCCTTACAGGATAGGAAAATAACCTCCTCACCCCATACCTATCACCCGATTGGAATAACTTGTCACCTCTTGTCCAATCTGTTTCAACCCTAGCTTCACTTCTGGATTTACTTTTTACAGTCAAGGCATTGATCCAATGGGGATGCATTAGGGTGTAAAGACATGGACCTATCTTAACCATTAGCAATAGAAAGGATGCCTTCCAAACAGAAAATGCTTTCATAATGCAAACTATTTTAGATGTAGAATTTATGTTCATTCACTGATTCACTTATTCAACCAACTCTATCCATTTAACGTACCTTTGATTTATGTGCTTGATGAATAATCTTCAGTTTATCTAGAAGAGAAAAGCAGAATGTCTTTATACAGATTACACTTAAAATTTCAAATTACTAAAGTTGAGATGGAGGGTGACTGTAAAGTTGAGAAATCTCAGTCTTTGCCTTATGATCAGTGGCCTTAAAAGTCACCTCTGCAAGACACGAATTTAGGCTGAAAGCACAAAGATGTGTTAAGACCTTGAGTCTGTGGTGTAGATGTTGAGGCCACAACTGGAAATCAACACAGTACATTTCCCCTCAGACTAGCAGACGAGCAAATCACATCCCTCTCTCTCTTCACAAAGACCAGAAGTAGCAAATAATGCTTAGAAAAATCAAGACAGATGCTAGCAAAAACATTTTTTTACAGCATCTAAATGAATCCCTTGTTATAGATATGATGACAGACGGTCAAATGAGCCTAACTAACAAGTGTTACCTCTCTCAAAATCCAAGCATTATCCAGGATCAGTGGTAACTGACGCAAGGCCACAAAAGCCCACAGAATACTCATGTATCTGCCTTCTGGTTTTCAAATCCTGCACAGGCTCAACCAGCTAATCTGCTTTGCTCAGATCGGTTTATCTGAAGTCAGGCTACACTGTGCTTCCCCAGTAATTGTTCCGTACTGGGGTAAAATTATAACTCTGTGATAACCAGCCCTTATTTAGAGAACAGATGAAGCCATTCAACGGGTTTAAATACAGCAAGTTTTCAATTCCTCATTTGATTGCGAATCTCAGCCATTTGAATCAGCGTGTTACCATAACAGGGTGTTATATTTGAATAAACTCTCAACCTTCAACTAAAATTTATTTCTATCAATCACACCCTGACAATGACTCCCAATGGTGATGTGAAATGAATAACAAGTGTTATGATTTGGACCACATAGTGAGGGTGACTGTAGCTCAGGAAGATGTAAAATGATACACTGCATAATTAACCTGAAGAGGAGGGCTGGTAGGCTCCAAATAAAAAGACTGGATTGAGAAAAGTTGAATTGGGTCCCTTACAAATATACAAGTATTACATGTTAGCCTTTTACAGATTTTTTTTAATTGCAATTCCTAAAAGCAAAAAAAAAAAAAAGTCAGACCTAGATTGTGTGCTCTCACAATATAAGCAGTGTACCTAACCAGTTAAGAACTAGAATTCCAAAATATCCATCTTTTTTTTTTTTAAAGATTTATTATTTTTTATTGGAAAGGCGGATATACAGAGAGGAGAGACAGAGAGGAAGATCTTCCATCCGATGATTCACTCCCCAAGTGAGCGCAACAGCCGATACTATGCCGATCCGAAGCCAGGAGCCTCTTCCGGGTCTCCCACGCGGGTGCAGGGTCCCAAAGCTTTGGGCCGTCCTCGGCTGCTTTCCCGGGCTACAGGCAGGGAGCTGGAAGGGAAGCGGGGCTGCCGGGATTAGAACCGGCGCCCATATGGGATCCCGGGTGTGCAAGGCGAGGACCTTAACCACTGCGCCACCGCGCCGGGCCCCCATATCCATCTTTTTAAACAGTCAACTTTCAAAAAACCTATCCTTTTTAACACAAGCTCAACATAACAGTACAACTATAACTCTGTTTTCTTAAAAAAGAATAAAAATAAATCTAACATAAGTAAAATTCATGAATTGGACTACCTGTGTCCTACAGAGTAAACAATCACCTAAGAAAATAAATGTGACTTTTAGGGTTCTCTATGATATTGAGTTGCCTACAGCATTCTTTTCCTCTCTATACACAGACACCAGATTATTGCTGGAGACAGAGAAGCCAAAAGTACATTTTTAAACAAGAGGTTAAAGTCTGTTATAATCCACCAGCAAAACGGCAGCCTGACCTTATCAAATATTAATCATGTTCTATATATTTTGCTAATAAGCCTTTAAATTAGAAATAGCTTTGCTTTAACAGGCTTGGCAAAGCCCCCAAAAAAGTAGGTTACATTTATAGCAGTGAAAAAAAAAATGTCTTGAGCAGAAATTCTGCCTGGATTTTTCCCCCCCAACTGTAATCATGTGAGGCCAGGGAGAAGGAAAGCAAGGAGAAACGACACGCTGGCCAACGATGCTGCCGTGTTAACCTCTCTGCCTGCAGTGCGTCATCTCCTTCACTTGTTATTACTTCTTCAAAGAAATCCTCACTACAGCAAGACCATCATTGGCCCATGCTTTCTTAACAGCAAATTCCCTGCAGGAAACAACCTTAATAGCAATGATATATTCATTGGAATGCTTAATGAGCTGCCACATGCACTGTTGAATCGGAACTCACCACAAGCTTAGGGCAACATACAGGGGTTAGCAGCCTTACACCAGCAAGCAACCTCTTTGTACATTTGCATGCATGGTGTCTAGGCAACATGCTATTTACGTTTATTTTTTAAATTTTAGGTATTTATTTACTTTTTCACAACATGACTCTCCATTAGTTGATGATATCAACAAATGGCAAGAAATAATTTACAATAATAACAAAAAACAGAAAAATAAAGCCAACAAATGACATATTACAAAAATCTCCTGCTCCTCGGGTAGATAAGCAAAGGCCAGGGGGCTGGTGCTGATACAGTAGGCTAAGCTCTACCTTTGGTGCTGGCAACTCCTAGGGGCACCAATTCAAGTCCCGCATCCTCCACTTCCCATCCAGCTCCCTGCTGTGGCCCGGGAAAGCAGTGGAGGATGGCCTAAGGCTTTGGGACCCTACAACCGCATGGGAGACCCAGAAGGAACTCCTGGCTTCAGATCAGCTCATCTGTGGCCACTGCGGCCATTTGGGAAGTAAACCAGCAAATGGAAGGTCTTTCAGTCACTCCTTCTCTATGTAACTCTACTTTCCAATAAAATGAAAATAAATCTTAAACACACACACACACTTTTAAAAAGGCAGTACAAGGGCCCGGTGTGGTAGCCTAAAGGCTAAAGTTCTTGCCTAACACATGCCAGGATCCCATATGAGTGCTGGTCCTAATCCCGGTGGCCCTGCTTCCCATCCAACTCCCTGCTTGTGGTCTGGGAAAGCAGTAGAGGATGGTTGGGACCCTGCACTCACGAGGGAGAACCAGAAGAGGCTCCTGGCTCCTGGCTTCAGATTGGCTCAGCTCTGGCCGTTGCCGCCACTTAGGGAATAAATCAGTAGACAGAAGATCTTCCTCTCTGTCTCTCCTCCTCTCTGTATATCTGACTTTTCAATAAAAATAAATAAATCTTTAGGGAAAAAAAGGCACTATACAATAATCAAAAATCCCAGAGTGTCACTCTCGTACCAATAGATTATTATATTTTTTGTACACTGTGAATTAGTTAACACAGATCAAGGAAAACACATATTTGTCTTTTGGGGACTGACTTATTTCACTAAGCATAATAGTTTCCAATTGCATTCATTTAATCTTGTCTTTTGCAGTAAGGATTTAAAAATAAATAGTAGCCTGCATGGTGAATCAATAATAGATGTGGATGCCAATTAAATGGTAGGAAGCACTCTGAGAACTCCTAGACTCTGGTTGGCCAAGAGAACCAGGCCCTTGCCCCGGGGCGAGGAGACAGTAACCATGGAAACTGAAATGGGACCTTGTGCCCTTCCCACTCCCTGACACCCAGGGCAGTGCTCTGGAGACAAAACAGATGAAGGGGACAGGCGAAAAAGCCAGCACCTTGGCTTTTCTTACAGAACACAAAGCAGCAGATTGTTCGCGTGCCAACCTGAGGCAGCGCTCCCTGAGGTCTAGCAAACCCCAGGCTTGGATAACGTCACAGCCAAAGCTCTCACCTTTTCTGCCAATCCATGTGACCAGCACAGAAACCCTGGGATCGATGGGTGTTAAAGGGATGGGGCTGTCCCCAAGGCACAGGATCTTCCACAGTGAAGCTGTGCAACGTGGATACTCTGGTGCTTTTATGATCTAAAACTCATCTTTCAGGGAAACTTGCACCGAAGGCAAAGTTGCACATAGACATGTAGACACACACCCAGGCAAATACCACGCTAAAGGGAACCCTGTGGATCTATCTCCATGGCTAACAGCAGGGATTCAGGTTCAAGGCTGTGTTTCAGGGCATTCTACTTTCAAAGTCACAAGAGTCACAATCGAGGAATTTCGTATTTGCCTGAACTATGCATTTTTTTCTTCCTTTCTCTTATTTGATATTGAGTATGTAAATTCCTCAAGTCCATTAAATCAACGTACATTCCATTCAGCACCTCCAATGTCTGCCTGCCTGCCCCCTCTGGACCCCACAATCAGTCCCAGGTGGTTAAAATGCATATACACAGTCAAGACTGGTTTCTTTTTTTCCTTTTTAAGATTTATTTATTTTTGGACACTAACATATCCAGATGTGAGAACACAATGCAGTATACATCTCTACTTCCAAACTAAAGATGGACTCCCAATGAAACTGTTTACTATACAACAACAGGATGCTGGACTCTCTGCCATTGTCCATACCAGCAATAATGGACATATGACTGTGTATGAAAAACTATATTTTAGTAATGATATAGGGGAACTCGGGGGTGGGGAGAGTGGGGGAGGGTATAAGGGAAATCCCAGGGGCCTATGGAACTGTATCATAAAATAATAATAATAATAATAATGATGATAATTAATAAATAAAGATTTTTTAAAAGATTTTTTTATTGCAAAGTCAGATATAGAGAGGAGGAGACAGAGAGGATTTATTCCCCAAGTGGCTGCCACAGCCAGAGCTAAGCCAATCCAAAGCCAGGAGCCAGGAGCTTCTTCTGGGTCCCCCACATGGGTGCAGGGTCCCAAGGCTTTGGGCCACCCTTTACTGCCCTCTCAGGCCACAAGCAGGAAGCTGGATAGGAAGCAGAGTTGCTGGGATTAGAACCAGCGCCCATACAGGATGCCAGTGTGTTCAAGGCAAGGACTTTAGCACTAGGCCACTGTGCTGGGTCCAAGATTGTGATTTCAAATGACTTCAGGTCATAAGTCATTTTATTAAACAAGACCAGAATGAATAGCCTTTCCAAAAAGTAATCTAATCCGG